CAGTTTCTGTGGTGGAGTGGCTCTTTCATAGGTACCTGTTGTGACAGAACATTATTCCTTGTCAGCATCTGCCACACTATCATTACATCAGTCTAAAAGTAATTTTAAATGGATACTGATAGTGATGGTTAGTGTCGAGAGCCAAAAGGTAAAGTGGGTTTGAAATTATCTGTTGTCACATAGGTGTCCCTTTGAGGTTTTTCTCGGAGGGGTTTTTTATTTAACCAGATTATGACATTTTGAAAATCACCTGCTGCAAATGTGTAGTAGATTTTTCATGTCTTTTTTTAAATAAAATTGTGATGTACTCAGTTAATGAAAAACACATTCATAATACATGTGAAGACTATTCTCTCTTACTCTCTCCCACACCCTACCTTAAGAGAGGGGGGACGAGGAAGGTATAAGAAATATATCCATGGAGAGGTAAGACTTTGAATTTTTCACCTCTTTTCCTGAAGCAGGACATAGCTGCCTTATTTTTTGTTTAAGGACTATACTGAAATTTCAGATCTTTCATGGTTAAATTGTCATTTAATGTTTTAGAAAGCCCAACAGTAAGGTCAGTCTGATTATGTTCCTAAGCCCATTTTAACACAGTTCTCTTTAAACGTTTAAAAATGCTTTTCATGTCAAAATCATCAAATGTAACCCACATACAAGGTGAAATGCTGCTTGTGAAAGTCGGTAAAGTTCACCCAAAGGGTTTAACTTAGGTGCCTCTTAATGGATCAAAGTGTGAAAGAGAGACAAAGGTTTTAATCTGTCTCTTTTTGACTTCGTTTTCCTGTTTTTGTGAGTGTACCCATGGTAGTTAATGTTTTTGCAATTATACTTAACAGTTGGAAGTGTACTTGACTGAAGTGACCCAAATCTTATATAAGTAATTCTGATAATTATCCTGCACTTTGAAAATAAGGCCTGAACTATAATTGTTTATGGGAGGGATACTGCAAGAAATGTTCTGTGTTAGAATAAGGCAGATCCTTAGCATGGTTTTAATGTCCATGCTGAGCACTATGGCTTTTAAGATACTAATGTAGGTATGCCTATTAATATGTATGAAGGAGATAAATGCTTAACAGAAGACAGACAAGGTAAGTACACTTTTTGCAGTAATCAAGCATTTGCTTTCAGCAAGTCCTTCATCTAGGAGTCCACTTCAGCAGTATAGTGAAAGTGTTGTTTAGGTTCCTCTATAGTTTTGAGGATGCCCCTGACTCTTTTACAAAGACTCCAAAGGGATCAGTTGATATGCTGCATTTATAAAACCAATTTAAGTAGCTCTAAGTAAGTCTTTGTGCTAGTTATGTTAATGAGGTTGCAAAGGGACTGCAAAGTCCTCTAAAGTCCAGTGCCTGCACAGCAATTCAGAAGCTAAGGAGCTTCTAAATTTAATGTCTTTCTAACAAGACATTAAATCAGGCTCTTTAATGTCTCTAATTGATGCTTTTGAGTATAGAAGAATACATGAACCCTGCTGTGTTCTAAAAGCAGTAGAACATCTTCACTAGCTAATAATACCTCGTGAAAATAGACTTCTCAGCCTAAATACTAATTTTCCTGTACTAAATAATGATGCAGAGAAGTTTCATTTCACTGCTACTTGTCAGTGCAGTTTTGGTGTTGTGTGGTGCTTGGCTGCAGCTGTGCTGAAGTGCATCACCTCTGCCCTCCATGGCCGTAAGGTCCTGTTCCTAGGCATTGCTAGATACCCTGTCCGTGAGCTAAGGGGTGAAACCTAGGAGTAGCCAGAGGAAGCTATCCTGCTGAGAATGGGGGTTTTGGTACCATAATTCCTCTCAGGAGCCATCAAGCCTCTCCTCACGGAATGGGACTTCTACAAACTGATGACCGGTTATTTAAACTCAGGTACTGAAACTTAGAAAGCCTAGAGCTCTAATGGATGCTAGTTCTCTTAAAACCATAAAGACCAGCTCCTTGGCTGCAGTAAAGCCATGTGGTTTCACCAAAATGCATGAGGCTTTTTGGCAGCTAAGGAGCTGCTATTCATTTAGCATTTCATTTAAAGAAAACCTGTAAGTTTACTACTTTCTAGCTACAGCTTTTACTCCAATCTCACTTTCAGCTGCTATACGCATTCTTTCCTGAGGTTGACTTCTGTAGTGGTAATGTGCGTATACACCAGGGTGACTCAGGTGTACACCATCTCCCATCTCTTTTGCCTTCTATGGAAAAGGGAGTAAGACAAACATGCATCTCGGTGAGTTCCAGCCTTATCTTGTCTCTGATTATTCCTGTTGTAAGCTTTTGGCTGCAGTACTGAAGAACTCTTCTACTTCAGTTTTTTCATATAATTTACATTCTTTTGCAATTTTTTATTACCCATGGCTAGTAATTTTCTCGAACAGGTTTACAGGGTGTCATCCTTCTGATTTGTGCAAGAACTTCAAGACAGTATAATGGGACACCTGGCTTTTGTTTCAAATAAATAATTATGCAATATCATTTAATTTTTCCTTAACATTCATCCTCACTACTGGAAGAAGAAAGAAGGCCACCCACTGAGAGAAGAGAACACAAAGCTAATGAATACACTAGAGGAAGGCTCTGCACTTCTGTGTCTGTCCCATGCTAAGCAGAATCCTGATCATGGAATCCTGATGGAGGAGATTTGCCCCATACAGTATGTCGTTTATGTATGTTGACTTTACATATTATTCTTTCTGGGAATAAAAATTTCCCCGTAGTCCTGCTTTTTTCTACTATTTCATCAAAGCCTTTATTTCAGTCGTCTCTATCTGGCCAAAGGGAACACGATTTTTCTCTTACTCATTTTTGGTGGTGTTATTTTGTTTAGGGGAAGCAAAAAGGTCTATATTTTTGTAAGGATATTTCCAGATGCATTAATTTCTTGGTGTAAATGAGTTTTTATTATCGTAACTGATATTTGTCACTCCTTTAAATTGTAGGATACAAGTTTAAATTCATCAGAATATGCAGGCGAATGAAAATTGGCACAGGACTATACTTCAGGTACAAATGTTGCAACCATTATAGCTTTTCACTTGGATCGTTAACTTGCATATGATCACACCTATGTATGTGCACATAAACAAACACCCACCGTTTCACCCTCAAGATCATTCCTAACTACTACAGTCAAAACTGATCATATACCTAATCAGCAATTTTGGAGAATGAGGGAGGCACTCAAAGTTTAATCCATGTAGAGCTCTAAATATTTTAGACAAATTCCATTCCATTTTTTTCAGGCTTGCATTTCCTGATATTTTTGTTGTTGTTGTTGTCTTAGCAGGAATTTGGGTGATGTTATTTTTAGTTGTGTTATCTACTCAGAAAAGCAAAGAAAGTTATTTAGATCTATTTACTAATCTCCTGGTTTTTTAAAAATAATTTATCATGGTTACCACCAAATGGGGGGAGGGAGAGGAAGAAGAGAGAAAGATCTTGCTAAAATAATTTTAAAATGTTCACAATGGCCTGTAGGCTAATGCTTTCTAACAGTTATCACATACAGTGGTATCTGAGTGCCTTGTGTGAAGGCTAATTATTTGTCTGGGAACATTAAGGGTTCTTTTCTATATTTCTTCATTTAATGAGAATACTTTGGAGGAGTGAAGCATGATGCATAAAAAGGAAGCTTCAGTCTCTTGAAGTATTCTTGTGGAAGAAATACTATGTATAGTATAGCTTTTCTCATCTGTGTATACTTCATAGTTGTTTCTGTGTAGGTATAGAAGAAGAGTCACATGTGGTTACCCCACTTACCCACAATCCCATGCCTTTGGGTATTGAGTTGTAGAGCAGCAGATATTTTGTTCTAAAACGCTGCACAATAATTTGTTAAATGTTTTAATATCAATCTACCTTTCCTGTAAATTACTCCAAACACCTGTGTCAGATACTTCAGAAATTATTTTGAAAACTGTATTTTGATTATCCTTTCCTTTCACTCTGGCAAACACATTAGTTTAGAGTAATTATTGCATGAAGAATTTAACAAACTGTTTAAGGACAATCATATGTATAAATTAATATTTAAAAAACTTGACAAAATACTTTTTTATACAGTGCTTTTTTATTATGCATTGTCAACAGTTAAATGATATGTTGCTGTTTCATGCAAGCTGGAATAGTGTTAAGAGAGCAAATGTTAATCCATAAACATGTTAAGGGAAAAAAGTGCTAAATCTGCGTAAGTTTGTACAGGTTTAAATATGAAACTGGAGAGCCGCTTCAGTTAAAATGACTTTGAATTAGTTACCGAAACAACCACTAGTCTAGTTGTTCTCAAGTCTTGTTGCAGTTCTGCCTAGGATGTTTGTTTTTATCCTGTGTTAAAATTTACACGCTTCTTTTTTTTGTGTAATGCAATATAATGCTGTAGTAGCAGCTCTAGGAATATAGCAAACCAGTACTATTCACCAACCAGTTGTGGTTACTATTCAATAATGAGTCCATTTCAAGCTAACTACTGCACGATATTGCCAAAAAAAAAAAGACAACAAAAAAACCCAACTGAAACCCAAATCTTCTGGTATGAGCTAACATAACAAATGTACATAATATGTCATGGAGCAACAGCTCAGTTACAATAACAACAACACATAAGAAAAAAGCTATGGAAATATTTTTTCTTCTTTTGTGCACACCAGGTGCTTCACATCTTAATTTGTTACAAATGATAAATAGTAAAATTGAATTACTATGTTTCTGCAGGACAGTAGTAGTAAAATGTTTCTTGCAATGTTCAGGAACATAGAGAGGCAAGTTGTTTTAATTACAGACTGAAAAAAAATCTATTTTATGGATCTTCATTGCCTTAAATATAAACTAAGTAAATAAAGTCTGAGTAATTGACAGTATATAATACAAATTTTCATTGGATCTGGATATTAAATCTCTGGATATTAAATTCTTCAAGAAGGACTATAAAATAACTGGACTGAAGAAATACCTATTTACGACATACTTTATAATGAGTGACAGGTATAGCTGATCACTTAGCTGTTTTATTAATTTTCATGATAGAATCTCTCTCTCTTAATTTGTTCTTCTACAGTGAGCTGTTTGGACTTGACCTTCTTGCCTTGGAATGATGGAACAGCTGTATATCTTAGTAAATCTAAGCTTGTGTTCATGTCATTCTTTGACACTTCGATTATTTCACTTTCTTGACAGACATTAATACCATTCCGTTCTGTATCATTATTCCCATGTTCCTCTGAATATGGGCTGCAGGAGTTTTTAGTTATGTCTACAGACTCTATTAGACCACAGTTTAAAACCAGGTTGTCTTTTTTAAGAAAAGATGTTTTCAGAGTGCCAGATAAAATAGTATTTAGAATTTTGTCATATTTTGATTCTTCTCCAATGCATACCAACTCAATATCAACAGGGAATGTTGTATTAGTTGCTTCCTTTAAAGCTAATGCACTATTAGTATTAGACTTCTGACAAGTGGCATCTTTATTAAATTGAGCAAGACTATTAGAGGCAACAGCATCTTCATCTTCTGAGTTTTGTTCATCCCATGAAACAGTTACAGTATCATTAGAATAGCTCTCATGAGATTCATACATCTCCAATATTTCTTCATTTCCAGACTGATTTTCTGGCTTTGCAAAGGCATGCTGCGATACAGTGCAAATTGCATGACTTAGTGCTGTCATTGGCTTAGATGTAGCTGAGAGAGTTGTTTCCTGCCTACAAATGTTTGGATGTGAAAAAGTGGCGTTGTTGTTGTTGTTATTATTCAAGCTGAATTCTTTGTGATTCTTTTGTACTGTTACATCATCGATGTTAGTAACCTGTACAACTTCTGAATCATCAGTTTCATTATTTTTTTTCTCTTGCTCTTTCCCAGTACTATGCACAATCACATTATCACCTTCATTAATATCCTTTTTGCTTTCCTCATCTTTTCTGTTATTGCCTGCTTCATTTTTTCTTGGTTTACAGATATTCGTAGCTTCTTTTTCAGACAGAGGGCTAAAGGATGAGTGTTGGTTTTTTTGTGCATTCGCAGTGTCGTTTTTATTTTGCTCTCTCACAGCATGTTTTTTCTGAGGATCCTTTTTATTGCCCAGAGGGTTGTTTGCATGTAAACTAGAACCCTCTTGAGCAAAACCTTCTGGGGGCCACTTCGGCTTATTTACTTTAGCCACTTCTTCAATAGAAAATGTTTTCTTAGGTGTTGCATCATCTGTTGAAGGTGGCCATGCCATCTTTAACTTAACTCTTTCTGTGGATTTTTTCAAATTATTATCAAAAATATCAGGATTAATACCTTCAGTACCTAAGTACAAGTCTTGATCAATTTCTGTAATTGGTTTAGGATCAACAGGTATACTATTAATGGGATTTGTTTCTTCAGCATGAGTATTGCCAACGGAGATGCATTGATCTTTAGAATTCCATAATTCTTTATGCTGCTTGTGTCCAAAACCTTCATCATAATTTCCTTTTGATTTGAAAAGTTGCTTAAAATGGGGTTTACAGTATATTTTTCCATGGAGAGATGCATAATTTCCCAAGCTGGCAAAGGGAAGAAAGTTTGTTTTATACTTTTACATATCATAAATCTACCGTGAATTTTATACTTTACTTGGTATTTCAAGTACCCCTCCATGACAGTGTATATAAAGAAAGGAGGAGCAAAAAGAGAACAAATTCACTGTACTGTCCAATTCTGACCACACACACAGAGACACACAAAATATCTAAAACCTTTAATTGCAAATTCCCATACAGTTTCAAAGTTAAAATGAAGAAGAGTTGTCATGCTTTGTGATTTAAGAAAGAACATAAACTTCAGGAATTACAGAATTTCAGGGTTGTTGGGATCTTTTTCTTCATGATATTAAAGACTGAAGCCTCTATTTTGCTACAAAACAGGTGGAGAAAATACAGTGCCAATTTTCTTTAGCCTTTGTGCAAATTATAGATATTTGTGTTTATTTGGATTCTGCTCCTAAATGAAGTAAAGAAAATGTGTGTAACTAACCTCAAAGGTGTTAAAATCAGAACTGTTAGCCTTTGCAGTCTGATAGACCAATAAATACTGTGTTTCATAAAAAGGTTACAAGAGTAGTTTGCTAATGCAGAGAGCCATCATCATTCATTTTATGGATGAGAAAAAGTGAGAAAATTTGGTCTGTGTTCAGATATCTTAAATTCCATCCAAGTTTCTATGTCTTCTGCTTCCTGTTTATGAGCTCTCCTGAAGGTCTGGAACAGTCAATAGGAAGTAATATACAGAAGAATCTGGAAGGTACTGGGATGAAGCAGTTCTTTAGAGAATTAAAAGATTTGTTCCACATCCCAGTGCAGATGTCAATAGCAGAGTAGAAAAGGGGAAGCCAGCTTACTTCCCTGTCAACCCAACCTACGGGCTGAATAGCCCAGTTGAAAATAATTTCACCGGCTGTGTTTACATTCAAATGCAGAGTTCTCTGAGTGAACATGCAGTTACTTCTTACCTTAATTGAGTGCCACAGTGGTGACATCGGAAACATAATTTATGAAAATTCTGCTTGTCGGCAACTAGGCATTCCATTGGGTAAACTCTCTGTTGACAGAGTCTGCATGTTTCATTTTCCTGAATCTGCAGTTTCTAGAACCACATGTTAAAAAGTTACAAGTTAGTTAAAGCCACATATTATGATTTATTTTTAACTGTATCAGTCCATATGTTTTGTTGATCTAATTGTGTTTTCTTTATCTATTAACTGGTATCTCAGCTGTTGATTTTAGGGGTTCATTTTTGTTCAACTAACAATACTTTGAAAGTGAAAAACTATTCACCCTTCCCTTTTCAGAAATCCATACATTTAAAAAGACTATTCACTTCAATACACCAGGTACAATATTTCCCATTTATTTGTAATAACTACTTATTTTGTGAAATGAGATAGGATGATAAAAGGTTTACTAGTATAAGTGAATTGAGTATAAAGTATATGTAATCTTTGAATCTTCAATGGGATTTAGAGATCAATAAACATAAGGCAGATGTTTGAAATTCTGATGAGGAAGTTTTGCTTAATCATGTCAAACAGCACATCAAGGAGTATCAAGGAGTTCCATTTCTGTGGTAACCTGCAGACTTGTACACTCATACGGTCCATATATTCTATGGACATAATTATTTGTGATTTTTACAATTTTCATTTTCAGACACGAAACTTCCTTCAGTTCATTTTTAAGACTGTTAGCTACAATTATATTAGCAAACTATATAAAATCTTTTTTTTTTAATGAAGTATACTTAATTATAAAGGAAACTAGTTCTCTGTAAAGTATAAAGCGTGAATAAAAGGTTTATTTCATACCAGAAAAGGGCAGAAGGAAATAATGGGCATTCTGTTGGGCTTGGAAAAATGCATGCTGCTCTTCCATCTTGATTTCTGAATTGATATGAGAACCATACTAGCAGACAAATACAAGTAAGGTAGACCAAATAATTGCTTGTATAAATATATCTGCATTGACAGTAGTAATGCCCCTTGACATCAGCAAAAAATTTGTGCCCTTTCAGCATTTTGTCTGTTTTTGGTTTGCCTGCTGGTATTGATTTTATAGCAATTCAAAAATCAAGACAGAAGTGATGTAGATTTTATAAGTACAGCTTTAGTTGCCACATATCTCTAGTGCCCATAATGACAGCCGTGAAAAATGCTGAAAGAGAAATTAAATATCTTCAAAATAATGCAGAACTTGCAAAAATAATAAACTACCAGTAGAAACAAACAAAAAAATCCCCCAAAGGATTGTTGGTGATGAAATAGAAAGCCTCAAATGTAGCCTCAACTCAGTCTCCAAACGGGCTGACAAAGAGGCCAGGCAGGCGTGGAGCGCAGCGGTCCCGACATGCCTCCCGCCTCGCTAGGCACGGACTGCTCGTGGCCGGCCGTGTGAGCCCCACGTAAGGACTCGGCTTAACGTTCTTAGGTACGCAAGTATTCTGAATGTGAAGAGGGAGGAGAGGAGAGGCACAAGCTTTGTGGTGCAGAACGGGATAAGGTAATTGGCAGGGCGGAAAAAAGATGTCATGTCTCCTGGAAAATTGTCTCGCTGGATCATTTAGTTGGATAGTCAATAGCGAGTGTTGTGCTCAGAAAGCAACAGTCAAGAGAAGAGAAAAGCAACGATAAAGAGGGAATTTTGGGGAAGTTTATCCCAAAGTAACTTTCAGGACTGACTAGTGGAGCCAATAGTCATGTTCATGAAAATTAATCACGTACTGGGTGTCAGTGGCAAGGTTTTGGTGGCTGGGGGGCTGCAGCGGCAGTCTCTGTGAGGAGCGGCCAGGGCTGCTCCGGGCTGGATGCAGCCGGTTCTAGCTGGCTTCAGCAGACCCACCCCAGGGCACAGCTGAGCCCCTCAGCCACACAGGTGGTGCCTCTGGGAAAACGTATTCAAGAAGGGGCAAAACGGTGCACATGCAGCGAGGACTGAGGGGAAAAAAGTGTGAGAAACTACCCTGCGAACTCTCTGTGAGGAGCGGCCAGGGCTGCTCCGGGCTGGATGCAGCCGGTTCTAGCTGGCTTCAGCAGACCCACCCCAGGGCACAGCTGAGCCCCTCAGCCACACAGGTGGTGCCTCTGGGAAAACGTATTCAAGAAGGGGCAAAACGGTGCACATGCAGCGAGGACTGAGGGGAAAAAAGTGTGAGAAACTACCCTGCGAACACCAAGGTTGGAGAAGAAGGAGGGGAGGAGGTGCCGCCGCCGAGATTCCCCTGCAGCCTGCCAAGGAGACCAGGGGAGCAGGTATTTTCTGTGGAGAGGACCACACCGGAGCAGATATCCACACTGCAGCCTGTGGAGAGGACCATGCTGGAGCAGATGGGTATTCCCAGAAGGAGCTACAGCCTCTGGAGAGCCCACGATGGAGCAGGTGAAATGTGTGAGGAGGAAGGAGCAGCAGAGAGGAGCTGGTATGGACGCGCCCCACTCCCCATCCGCTCTGTGCTGCTGAGGGCAGGGGGTGGAGATAGAAGAGTCAGGAGTGAAGGAGTAAAGTTCAGCCTGGGAAAACGAGGGGAGGAGGACAGGTGTTTTAGTGTTTGTTTCTCATCATCTAAATCTATTTTAATTGGCAATAAATTAAATTACTTTTCCCCAAGTCAAGTCTGTTTTGCCTGGGAAGGTAACTGGTAGGTGATGTCCCTGTCTTTATCTTGTCCCATGAGCTTTTTCATCCTATTTTCTTTCCCTGTCTTGTTGGGGAGAGGGAATGAGAGAGTGGCTGGGTGGAGGTCTGGCAGGTCAATCCTCCACATGTGAACGGTCCTGCAAAATCAGTGGGGGAAAGGCTTGTCTATTGTTTGAGATCATCACTATTTACCAGACAGAAGAGATCCAAAATGAAATCCAGAGGCTTTACCATATACAGAATTTAGTATTCTATGGGTAACATTTTTTTCTACTCACTTTTAACATGCTTAAGCACACTGAGTCTGTCTGGGATGCAGCTGATTTTCTTTGTAGCTACTCATAGGGTGCTGTGTTTTGGATTTGTGGTTAAAGTGTTGGTAACACACCAAGGTTTTAGCCATTGCTGAATAGTGCTTGCACAGCGTCAAGGCCTTTTCTTCCTGCCACTCTGACCCCCTCCCTGCCTCAAGCAAGTAGTTTGGGGATATGCAAGAAGTAGAGAGACAACCAAGACAGCTGACCCCAGCTGACCAGAGAGATGTTCCATACCATGACATCATGCTCAGCTTTATTGCTGAGGTAAAGGAGGAAAAGAGGGCACATTCAGAGCTATGGTGTTTGTCTTCCCAAGGAACTGTTGTGCATGTTGAGGCCTTGCTTTCCAGGAACTGGCTAAACATCTGCCTGTTGATGGGAAGTAGTGAATCAATCCCTTATTTTGCTTTGCTCGCGCCCCAGCTTTGCTTCATCTATTAAACTGTCTCTACCTCCACCCACAGGTTTTCTTGCTTTTTGCTGCTCTTATTCTTTCTCCCTTCCCGCTGTGGGGGAGTGAGCGAATGAGTGAGCAACTGAATGTGGATGTAGCTGCCAGCCAGGGCCATCCTACCACATTAAGTTTTTTGTTGGACCATGGCCAGACTGTGCCTCATTTTACAGGATCACGGGCTATTCATGTTTAATTCTGCTCTTAGCATGAACAGAGGTAGCACTGTTCTCTTGATGCACAGAGTTGGGAAACCCAGAGCAGAGCTTTCTGCTTAGGAGTTCTGCAGGTACAGGAGCTTTAGCTTTGTTCTGCCGTTTTCATTGCTGTGCAAGCATCAGCATTCTGTTCATGTATTTCAAATGGCTAAAGCTATGGTAACATCTCATTTTCCTACAGGATCCCATCCATATTCAGTGCCCAAACTAGATGCACAAAAGAACATTGATGTTCATCGTGTAATAGCATATGTAATATTTTCTAAGTTTCAAATGTATAACTTTGCAATTTAATACTATTTTATTATCATTTTTAAGTAACACATGTACCATGAGAAAGAAGGCATGCTTTATTTTCAATGTTTACTTCATATTGATATATAAATATTCATGTATATAGTCACATACTTGATATATTTTAGAAGTTTACTTCAATACAAACAAATACATTGTGTTCAAAAAATGTGTGGATGAGGTGCTTTGGGACATGGTTTAGGGGACATGGTGGTGTTGGGTTAATGGTTGGACTTGGTGATCTCAAAGGTCCCTTCCAACCTTAATGATTCTGTGAAATAACAGGCTTGGCTTTTTGAGGGACACTGAGTGGGTCCACTCCTTAGTGATGTGAAGCGTGGGCTCTGACATCAGGTGTATGGGTTTGCTGTCATAATTCAGACTAGGGCTGTATCAAATGGTAAAATTGCCCAGCAGGAAATACAGAAGAATTTTTAAAATTGCATGTTAATTTGTAAACTGTTTTAGTAATTTTACTCAATCAGCAAACTCACTGAAACATAGTTCACTTTGTCTTAGGTCACATCTTGTGCTTTAATAAACTAAAACCAAATGGGCCCAAATATTTTATCTCTAGAGCTATTTTTTATCTCAGTTAAAGAAATGGTGCGTTAATTTTAAGCATGAGAAGTCAGGTGGATTCTGTGCACTTTTTCTAGCATGTTAATATTTCTCAAATACAACAGTTATGCTATTTTAATTTTAATATCTATTTTTATTTTAGTAGCTTTTTATTTTAGTCTATATAATTCTTCAGGATAACTCTTGTAGTGTTAATCCTCATAACAGTGGAAGAGATAATAGCTAGAGGCTTTGACAACAGTTCCTGTGTCTTCAGCTTCTCAGCCTTCTGGTCTTCACGCAGATCTATTTGAATTTCTATGTCATGTTTGTGTACTACTTGCTTATCATTGCCATCAAATTTGGAATCAGAAAGTGTGCTTTGCTGTGGTGTTACAGGGGCTGCTGCATCTTGTGTGGGACCTTGATCTTGCTTGTTTGATTTTTGTGGCAATATTTCAGCTGGACCTAATTCCTCTGAACCTTCTGTGTACCAAGGCTGTTTTTCAACTGTTTTGCCTTGTGCACAGCACTGCTCATGTTTTCCTCCACTGAGATTCCACATACCACTTTAATTTCCACTAGGTGTTTGTTGGTCACAGGTAAAGGGTGAGTTTCCAACGTCCAGTGTGCTATTCTGACATGCTTCTTCTCAGTGTCTTCTCGATGGACAGTTTCATTCTCCAGTCTTTGACCAAAGTTGTCTCTGAGAACAGAAAATGGCTGAGGTTCAAAATGCTTTATGCTTCTCGTAACGCTTCCTTTAAGCTCTTTCACCTCAGACCTCAGCTGCAACAAGTTAAGGACATCCACTGGGTAAAGCTGTCCGAGTTTATCCGGATTCTGTGCTTCCAGCATGTGCCTCAGAGTCTTTACAACACCACTAGAAACTTCTCAGATGCGACCTTTATCTGCTGTTTGTTCCTCATCATGATAAATTTTATTCCTAGAGTCCAGTGGCTGAATTTCAAACATCCACGTGACTGTGCAAACACCTCCTTTAACTAGTGCAAGAGCCTCGTCCGTAGTTCCTGCAGAGCCTGGAGCATGTGCATGCAGTGCATCAAGAGGCAAGGTCTGAAACACCTAGGCTATGTGTTTAATATTTCCACCTGCAATGGTTTCCTGGTCTGCAATGCTTCTAGCTTTGTCTGGGTCTGGAGGGTCATCCTGAATTGCAAAGAAAGGCTGGTTCTCATCTTGTAGAGAGGACCTCTCCTCTCCAGATTTCAGGCCAGTCTAAGCATTGTTTTTCTGGTCTTGTGAACATCTGAATAATGAAGGCAAAGCCGTATCTAGCCTGCTGCACATCTGACATCATATGCTGTGTTTCAGATTCACCAGATAAAATATTAGACGTCTCAATCAGGTAATGGTTCTCTAAGCGTTTTCTTAATTGTGTGTGGAAAGGTTTGTATATATGTCTTGGTTCACATGAATTGCTTTGCTTTGGATACAAATCTGCACAGACAGTGGACTTGGTCAGCAAGTTGGATGATTCAGTGGTCTGGGAAGTTGCTGTCAGTTCCAATGGAGCTTTTGCATAAGTAGTGGAAAACTTTTCTGTGCTTCCATATTCATGGGATCTGGAGCAAATAATTGCAGAAGTAGCAGTTCTTTCCTGCTTTTTTCTTGGTGTAGAAGTTTCCTGTAGCCTGCTTGCTGAAGTAGTAGCAGTAGATGAACTAACTGTTGAAGGCAATGTAATTTCCTGGTACGTATTTTCCATCTTTAGGGAACAAAAGTGGTTGGGTTTTTTTTAAAGTACAATAACATAGAAAACAATTTTTCTGTTCTTCACAAAAGCTAGTTCTGCAAGGATCTAAGCAATAGCATTATAATAAGATCTGGAAAGACACATTCCATCAGCTATTGCTTAGAATGCATAAAACCAATCTTTTGAACTAAGAGCTGTGCTACTTGCACCATTGAATATATCTGAAAAGAAATGTGGAATTCATACAAAATGCAAAATGATGATTGAGCGGTCTTGGAGTTTTTGCCACAACAAATGCAAACTTTACATTATGCATGTATAGCCTAAACCAGGCTGTGGTTTACGATCATTTTAATTTCTTCTGAAAGTGACATTTTCTGTGCTTCTGAGAATCTCTGGTGACAGAAATTATACATATTTACAGGTTTAAAACAAGAAAAGAGGAGACTGTATTCAGCAGAGGGGGGCAGGAATGAAAGAGTTTTTATAAAGGTTTACTTTTAATTGTTTGTCACATACTGTAAGTACTTGTTGAGTCTTCTAATGTAGTTCATATTACATTATGTGGACCTAATTCCGTATATTCCCACCACTGTAATAGGTTACATTTTTAATCACAGTTAGTCAAAATAGAAATTCAAACTGCATAATGGACCAATGTCTTAACTTTACCACTTCTAATTTGCATAAAGATGCCTCTTATTAAAAGCACAGACCTTTACTTCTTTTGCAGGTGCTGCAGTCTCTCTGTCAGAGTGAACAGCCTTTTCCTGAGCTGTCCTTTCAATCTGTTGTTTTAAAATCTGTGTTACAGTCTTTGGGAGCTCTTCGTTCTGAGCTGCATTGATTACTGCAGTGGGAAGAGGAATAAAAAAAGATCGTCTTCCTCCACCCTGCATTTTATCAAATTGACTTTTCAGTGCATTATAAAACATTATTACATTAAAAGTATTGTACTTAGCATTGCAGAAGTCTCAGGAGTCACTTGATCATGAACAGAAATCCATAGAGAGAATGACAGAATAGTTGTTGAGGGACACACTATCACCTACTGTTTTGCCATACCTGAGAGGTGTGGCAGGGCTAAATGTTGACTGGGGTCTGTGAGAGAATATAATGCATAACTTCTAATGCCAGGAGTAAACTGCAACAGCAGCAGTGTCTTAACATTGTGGTCATATTCTGCAGGGCTGTTCAGCTATAAATTGAACCTTTCTCATCCACAATTTTGTATATACATGGGCTTGTGTTTGCCTGTGTTTTCAGACAATTCTTCAAGTCCCCAATTCTTTTGAGCAGCTGAGCGCATATTTAAAACCACCTCCTTATGCAAAAGCCATCTCTCCATACCCATTCTAAACTAATTTCTTAAGTCCCATTGAGGTCAATAAACGTGCTTTGCTGAGAATTCGGAGAAATACGTGTTTTCATGGTTGTATGCTAAGAGCGGTATATTTGTGTGAGTAAAGACATTTGCCATTGTTCATTTGTGAGCCTTTATTCTCATGCCACTTCTTACCTGGTTCATCAATGTGCTGAATGAACGTAGATGCCATTTTTGTCTCAAGAGTAACTTCCTCGTGATGAGAAACCTGTGCACAAAACCTTCACTTTACTACGGGATTTAGTGCAATATGTAAGAGTTCTCCATACTTCTGCAACAATATTTAAAATGTTACATCAAAGAAAAGTATGAATGGAAACCTAATGAATTACCATGTTAAAACAATAATAAATTAAAAACACTTAATGAAACACCTTGGAAAATTATTATGCGCTGCCTAATGAGGGAGGCTATCAGCAGAACATCCAGATCTTGCTATACCAAGTGGTAAAGGAGGAAGAAGCAAAGCAGATATATATCAGCCTCGGTATAATTGTCCAATGACATAATTATTAATTGATATAGTTACCTCATGTGTTTGAGAGGCTTCCATTTGACTTTCTTTGGAGGTCATTGCATTGCACTCAGCTTCCCTTGTGCTGCTTGATACTGTGCGCTGACTGCTACTTGACATTTCCTAAAGACAAATAAAAATAATCACACATTAACAGCTAATACTAAATTGGATTTTTCTTTGGGGTTTTTTTTGTATGAAGGGCTTTCACAAATACATTCTAATGTAAGTGGTGTAACTAGAACAGCCATTTTACAGCAGACTACTGTTGTTAACTGTGATTGATACTGCCATAAAAATTGGAACAGGCTTTTTTATAACAGAGGAGATGTCAAGTCGTTTCTGCAACTGCAGCCAGATTTTGACCAGCAGATATGTAAAGCTGCATGAATACGTACAATGTATAATTAGACTGGGAGGGGACGAAGGTGACTGGGAAGACTGGTTCTGGCTTTATGCGCTGTGCCATCAACTTGTTACTTATCAGCAGGCATGAGGCTAATGCAACTTTGTAAAAGGAAGTATAATAATGTGTCTATATAAGATGTTGACTTTCTGCATATGCTTTACACAGTTCTTCCGATGCAAAAATCATGCTGAATTGCAGTTGTGGAAAATATGACCCATAGGCTAACCAGAAGATCTGATAAAAGCATAGGCTAGCATTATAGCTACAAGTTTGACAACTGCAGTGTAATAAACAGAGCATATCGTTGAGAGTTTAAAGCAGTGTCTGAGATGTCCATGTAAACAAATTTCTGAGGTTATCTATGTTTAGTTTGACTCCAGATTCTGGCAGTGATTTGTTTTCTTATTTAAAGCCTATCACAGAACCTGTGTTACATCACATTACCTGTGTCCATGGAGTACTTTGAGATTTAGTGATGAGAAGAAATAAATCCTAAGGATTAATATTATTAAGATATCAGTTCTGTGCTTCCTCTCTCTTGCGCACTAGCATGCACACTGAGACATCTAACAAATAATTTCACTCATGTCAAATTAAATTTTCTTCTGTTGTGAGAAGGAAGCTTACCTATTAGTTTCTACTGATAATAATAAGCTTTCAAATGAAAGGAGCTTCAGGTCCCTCCAGCAAGAGCTTCCCAAGTGTTCAGTGTAATGTGAATGTGAATGGAGGCAGCACCGTGTTTCTGAGATTGCTGCTGCACACTTAGTGCAACATAGAGATGTAAGTTTCCTGCATCTCAAATTCAGCTAACTGGGGGGCAAGAAGTTAGCTCTCTCCCTTAGTCATCTCATGACAAAGCATCTATTTATGGGATTTATTCCACATTCAAATTAAGGAATGCTTACACTGCTTGCATCTCCACTAACATTTCTTCTGAATCAATATAGGGGAGCATCCACTGCCTGGCCCATAATTTCTGCCATACAGTAAGCAGCAAGCGTTCATAACTTCTCTGGCAGAGAAACAATGTGCATCCCCTTCGTGGGCTTTAGGAGTTGGGAGGTGGTGGAGTCGCCATCTCTGGGAGTGTTCAAAAAACGTGTGGATGTGGCGCTTCAGGACATGGTTTAGGGGACATGGTGGTGCTGGATTAATGGTTGGACCTGATGATCTTGAAGGTCCTTTCCAGCCTTAGTGATTCTGTGAATTCTCTTCCACCTCTGTGCTGCCAAATCATCTGTTTCAACTACAAGATGAATTAGAATCATATGAAGAAAAGGTAGACTAAATTTTCTGATTACTGGCCCAGTAAACACTTTAGTGCATTACCGGTATCAAAATTAATCCTATCTACCACAAAGTTTGAACTGTCAAAGTGAGGTGAGGTTTGAGGAGAGCAAGTCAGAGCATGGTTTGCACTCGCAAGTTCTACATGTGTGACAGTTGTGAGGGAGCCACACAGCATGAGGAGACGCAGAGCTAACCCTTTACCAAGTTGAGTAGAGGCAGTTCAAAGAAAATGAAGTGCAAATTTTTCCATCTATTCTCTGTTTAATGACTATGTGTAGGTGTGTGTATAATATGCCTTTTCATTTTATGTGGATATGCTTTATATATTTATGCATATATATGCTTTTTTCATTTAAGATACGCTTTTCTGTTCTAATGTGCATGTTTTAGATATGTAAGTCAAGCCCTCATTACTGGAAAACCTCATTCATGAGACACAAAATATGTTCATGATAGTCATTATGTGTCCTTTGAATGGTGTGGGGTATTAAAAAAGAATATAATTAGGCTTAATGTAGTCAGGAAGCAAATCTAATCTGAATGTCACTACTGCTTTATTGCTCTAACTTTGGTACCGCTTATGAAGTAGTTGCCATACTGCAAAAGATTATAATTGTTTAATGCAACAGCTATGGCTGTCTAAAAATGCAGCCTAAACATTATGGGCCATATTTTGACAATATAATTACACGGCCTTGCTCTGGGCGTGCAGGGAGGAAGAGGGACTTGGAGGTTCTCATATTTTGTGTCTGTCAAGATGGCTAATTGAAATTCCCATGGCAGAGGGTAAAATGCTGCTTGTTTATTACTCCAAACAAGTGGAGAGCAGGAAGACCTGTGATTTCATCTGTCCTCTGTAATGGCTGTTAGATATAGGATAGGATATTGTATAGGTAGGATTAATTTAGTCTAGCCAACTAGAATTTGTGGCGTGTTTTGTAGACCCCACAGATTTTGGAGAATATTGCATAGAATTATTTGATGGTCTGCATGGGATAAGGCTGTTTTTATCTTATTAAGCAGGGTAAGTCATGCCTCCAGTGCAGGACTGTGGCGGAAGATTATGATCTAGATTTAATACTAGTTAAGAGTTACGTTAGTGGGAACTTGATCCCTTTATTTGTTTCTCTGGAATACAAAATTCGTGCCATACTGTGTGTTATTAAATCAAGCAAGGTTATTTAATCAACCAGATCCCGCATCGCGGTGTCAGGAAGGAACAGCTGCCCTCCAGCTGTGCAGGGGAGGAGGACTGACAGAGAACTCAAAGTCATTTTTGATGGTAGAATGAAAAGACAACTATTATAGTTGCTTTTCTCACGGCCCAAGAACCACCTTTCAGTTACTTTTTGTTTATTCTGTGCCATATCATGAGTGAGCTCCAGGAAACACGGCCAGCTGGATTATTGTTGGCATGGTGCTAGCTCACGAATGGTTTCTTACGGTCATTTTATTTTTATTTCAGACTTCTGTTGCCCTCCATTCTCTTCTGTTTGTTTCAAGACACCCTTTATGGGGGCTGCGGGCCTTCCCATGCATATCTGTATGGTACTTAATACAGAAGGCTGTAATGTTCTGTTGTATCTCTGGATAATAAGTCATTTTAACCTAAAACAATACTATTTAAAAAATAAAGATGTAAATATGAGAATAAGTCTGTATACATTATGTGCATTTTTATGTAGGCATTCAGATTCTGTTACTGGAGAGAACTGTACTTGCTATATGCATTTTAGATGTTAGTGGCCCATACATCAATTTTAGTGCCCCTGCGCTGCAATAATTTAAATAGAATTCTTATTGCAAATTGTGCCAAGATTTGAATTTTCAGTAACTGTTCTGTGTATTTTAGACCAAAGTTAGCTTTTTTGTGTTGACATTTTCGCAGTTTCCATCTGTTCTGACAACAGACAAAACATACTTTCCCTTTCAAAAATAAAATTGCTTTGAGGCTCAGAATATGTATGCTATGTTATATGCATATGTACATAAAAATGTGTACAATTCTATATATATGTGTATGTATGTATTGTTCAAGGGGATTAAATGGCCCAAAAGTGTGTCCAAGAACGAGAAAGCCTTTTACTCGCTCACATTTGAAGCATGTTGCTTTTAGTTGAACTATACATTATGATCACCATATAAGCTCTGTGTGAAGTTGGCTAATATGATATCATTTATGTATTGGCATATTTAGAACTTACTGTTCTAAACAATCAGTATGTGCAAATTTGCAGTTCTCTTTAGGTAGCATTGGAAGTAAATTGTGAGCCTAAATCTTCAGTTACAAAATTAGTAATAATAGAATGACTGGCTGACAATTTACTTGGTGTGGATCTTCATTTCTTCCTCAAAGCTATGCCTTTTTACCTATTTATGATGTTATCATAGTATCACCTGCACAACAGTACTGTGAGAATCTTGCAGAAATTTCTTGTAAGAACTTCACTTACCTGCACTTCATCTCTATGATTTGTCAGCCTTGCTTAGTTGTATGTATATACTCGGGGCATTTTGTGCACGACGTGGAAGATTTTAATAAAAAGGCAAGGTTTTTACCATTAACTAATGCTGTCCTGTTATTCAATCTTATCCTCTGCAATTGCTAGAAAATTGGCAATTGCTACACTATCAATTTTAGAAAATTTGTCTGTAGTGACCCTCAATGAAGGAGGTGTTAACTATATGTGTGTCATTCCTGACACAGGATACTATATGGTTGAGTGAATACCAGATACTGTCAATATATTTCACTCATCCTTCCTGTGTAGGAGGTTCAGCTCACTTGCCAGAAACAGCTTGTGCCTGACACTGGATAGTGAGACTTTGTCTGAGCAGCTAGCTAGCTGAGCTGGTGTAGCAAACCACTCCAGGCCGGCATTTTCAGACCAGTAACACTGAAGCTCATGACCTCTTCTCAGCTTGGTGGCTGATGACAAAAGGTGCTTATGATGCCAGTGGTCAAATTAAAGACCAGGTCTCTAAACAAACTCTAGTTGAGTTTGTGAGCACATGGCAATTCTGTGATCAGTTTTTCATTCCTGCTCACCATTCTGGACAAGAGTTTAGTCCATCCTACTGGTAATACGGCACCTTTCACAAGGAACCAATCTCTTGTAAAATGAAGAGACCTATGAGCAATGGCTGCTGCCTGAGAAAAACAGAAAGATAGTTACTATTTGCATATTTGATGCCATTGTTTTGAATGGAAAGCCATGTACTCCTTATGCAATAATTGAATATGTAGTAAAATGTTCAGTTATTTAGATAGTGTATAAAATGAATTGCTTCCTCATTTTAGCTTGGATTAATAGTTTGAATTTATCCAGATCTGGAGATCTGTCTTCAAACAACATGATTTTTCTGTTTTGCCCCAGGATTGATTTGGTGACCTTGAATAATCTTTCAGCTACGTAGGTGTATAATCCCATTTTCCATGAGAGTGCAGTTACGTTAGATAGAAATGGGATTTTATAGTCTTGCAGTAAGTTATTTAACCTAAAGATTGTTTCATATAATCTGAGTGATTTTGTTTCCTGTGAACGTGACAATTTCTGCTGATGATTTGAGAGAGCCTCTTCAACTATCCAGAGGGCAAACACATGGATAAGTATGCTTAGAGGTCACTCTTTGTTGAAGTGGTGGAGCCATCATAGTGGCTTTGTGGAGAACTAGATGTCACTATTAGGCCAGGGAAAATCCATCTTCACATCACAGAAATGAAATAATTTAGTTCTGTGTAAGAGCAAAAGTCACATAATTTCTGTACACAGTTCTGCGTTTCTTCATCCAGAGAAATGGCAACTAGGTTGGACCATGTCATCAGAAAAGTATGTGCATAACATTTCTGATTACCAAGGATTACACTCCAGTATGGTTATGTCCAACTATGGGATTTTTCTGCTTAGTTAAAAATGCTTTAATACATCTGCAACAAACTGTGTCTTCTCCCCTACAAACTGGGGTTTTTCATCTTGTCTGTGCAAATTGTTGATGTTGGTATTAATGTGTAAGAAATGAGAGATGATTGGTAGATATGATGATACTTATTTAACATGAAAATGAACCTATAGCAGAATGTTGATATGTCCTGTTCTACAAAGTTGGAGAGCAGTATTGCTTAAAAATCTCTCCAAGAAAATTGCTTGTTAAAGCAATTGACTGTGCCATTACTTTTTTTCAGAGTGCACAGGACAGATTGTGCAATGTGTTTTATTATAGGGGATTTGACATAGTCCAAAGTCATTATCTCCTACAACAATTTTTCATGGTATATGCTAATGAAGTAATAAAATGTAAAGATCTTTTATCTAAAATAACACTTAGCTGCTGCTTTCCTCTACTTTTATGTAGCATCTGGGTTCTTCCGTGCAATTTTTGATCTGTTTAGGGGAGTTGACTGGATTTAATTCAGTGGAAGAAGGAAACTCCTTTTGAAGGAGAATGGCTTAACATCACGTCAAGTGCAATGTATGAAAATATCACCATGATACTTGATAATGAATTACAGTCTTATAGACAACGTTCAGTATAAAATACTTCTATGGTAGTAATCTGCCTTACTCATCTATTTGCTGTAAGTCTAGTGTTGCCTATATTGAGTTTTTGTCTGTATAAAAAAATATATGATTCCTGTAGTGTATATCAAAGAGAAAATTCTGTGAGTATGAACATTAGGGAAACATCTTAGTCATAATGAAAACTTTTCAGTAGGAAAACAATCATAGTTTTTCCTCAAGATATCTAGCAGGGCATACCTCATTTGTTAGTATTAAAAATGCTATTATTACCTGTACAGATTTGTGGTGGTGCTGGTACTGAGCAAAGGTCTTTTGTAAAGAGGTCATCTGCGCTTTCTCAAATTGTTTTCTCACTGCTGCCAGGCCACCGGGCACAGTACAGAACTTGGTTTTCTCTGTAGTCTAGAGTAATGAAATAAGGCCAGTTGTTTTCCATTTGCACTAAGAACGTACTTCTTATGAGCTGATTTTTTTAAAAGTAGTTAATAACAGTGTGCTATAATGCTTATAACTTTCAAATAGAAAGTTTGGAAACACTTGGTTATGTCTGTAGCCTCTTACAGGCAACTTCCGCTCATGTAATCTGTAAACCCTACTTATTTTAACAGTACACATGAAGTAACATTAGCATTCAGAATGGATACAGTAACAAGACAGTTATTTTTCAGGTGTTGTCATCAAAATACAAAACATACACATACTGTTAACATTAACTGTTGAATCTCATTTGACCCATTTTAGGACTTTTACTTATCAACCAAAAATTAAGACCTGAAGTTCTTTTGGAATTTTGCCATCTACAATTTATTTAACACTAGTTGCTAAATACTCCTGTGTGAAATAGATCCTGCTGCTGTAGCTGCATATTCATCCCTGCCTAAACTACTGTCTGAGGGCTCAGTGGTTTCCTCTGTATTTTTAGGGATGAGCCATGTATTTTCAGCCATGTAATACTCTGTCTTTGCAAGAATGACTTAGACGATCATAAATACTGTTTCTGGCAAGTTCATAGATGAGTGCACAGGAGCCATGGTGATTTGGAAAACTAAAGGCCAATGTTTACTTGAAAAATGTGCATGTTTGGCCTGAATCTTTAGCACCAAAAGGAGCAGGTCCCAACTACTTGATTGTCAGTGACAATCGCTTTCCAGAACAATCCTCTGCTGTTCATACTTTTACTTGTCTATCCTGAGTTCTGTTGCATTCAGGTTGCCACCTGGCCCTCTCTGTATTTTTTTCAATAGGTATTGTTGAAAAACATGCAGAGACCTTCAAGCAGGTCTTTGTAAGATGACATTTCTTCACTAACAACAGTGCCAAAGGACACAAGAGTGCCTTTACCCTCAGGCTCCCTGTTCTAGTTCTGTCGCTTATGTGTTGCCTCTTAGATGGTACTAGAACGAAGCTTTCAGCATTTGAGCTTATTAATCAGTATGCACAAAATAAACCACTCAATAGTTAGAAACAGCCTGGTAATGAAAGTTGCTAAATAAACTTAGGTTTAGTGCTTGCACCTGATGAGTAACTAAGCAGATCATAAAAAACAGTTGTGTTTTTTTCCCTGTGACGAAGGTGTCACGATTCTATATGTACATAGATGTGTGAATATGAAAAGTAATATTTTAGTGAATTAATATTTCAGGCACACCCACCTTGCCAGCCATTTGGAGATATTTTGAGGGGGCAAATGCAGTTATGGGTCCTTTAAGGAAACATATTAATTCCCTTTAATGGAACCAGACACGCAGTTCCTTTTTCAGGCAACCATCCATTTCAGCAAGGAATTGTGAGGAGTTCCAGTGTGTAAATGAAGTAGTTCTATGTGATCAACACAGTTAGGTTGGGTCAGGCTTCACGCAGTTCTGTTCTTTTTGAGAGGGAGTACTAACTTCAGCAATGTTTCCAATTGCAGGAGTAGGGAATTGGAACCTTCTCACTCAGGTGAACTGCAGGGATCTGCTCCAAATACACACAGGCAATTAGGGAACAAGGAAGTCAGCAGGCAGGAATTTGGTGGTTGGAAAAACACCCAGACTCCGGTGAAGTGTGTCTGGTGGCTGTTTTCACTAAGTGGCTTCTGGGCTGTCCAAGCACCCAGCAGGTCTCTTCAGCTGCTGCAAACCACTTCTCCCAAGACCGAAGTGCAAGTAAGACTGGGAATCCTTCTACAGCTCTTCTTGCACATGGACAAAGATACTGGCTGGTGAGAGCTGCATCATAAGTCCTTCTTTTGCCAGATACTCTCTCTGATTTACAGAAATTACTTTGGCCTAGTTTACAGTAGGAAAAAGGTGTTCTTCCCATGTGCTGAAAGTTTAGCGTAAACAAAGACCATTGTCATTCTAGCATTGTAGCAAGCCAGCATAATGTCTCCATTTCCTGGTGGCTGGTCCCTCCCCCTGGTACAAGGGGGTTGAGCTACAACTTCTAGGTAGGATTTTAAGATATGGTAAAAATACACTTTTGGCCCTTTAGTATTTTTGCAGAACTGAGGCAGATTTTCCTGATATTCCTGGCTGAGATCTGAAGACCCAACTTCCAGATATTTCTGACTGATAATTAAATGTGTGGTGAAGTGGTCTTGCTCTGTTTTAACAGATTATAAATCCTGATAGCCAAATACTTTATTTGCTACTTGATATGAATATTAAATTTGCTGTAAAATACCTAATCCCTATGGATAGACATGTAGAAAGATGAGTAAAACAAAATTATTTTTTCCTAAATATTTTTTATATAACACCAATTTTTTAATAATTTTATTATAAAATAATAGTTTTTCATACATAGACCTGCTATTTTCAAATGCAGCAATTTTGAATTCTTTAGTTTGAACAGCAAGAGGTCTAAACTTAATGTGCTTTTGAATACAATTTTATTATTTGTTAATATTTGTAGCAATGCAGAAACTGCTGGGTTTTGTCATTATGAGCTGAAAGAATAACTGTGTTGCTAATCTGTCTCAAGCCTATGGTCCTAATAAATGCAGTTCATGCAACAGTGGAATAAAACGAACAGTCCTTCCAATGAATGAAAGGGAATTGTCCAAATGACCAAAGGTACATAGCATGAAAAATCTCATTCAGTAGAGACAGAGTGATGCATCAATATGTTTGCTAAGTAGATTTGGTAATTCAGGTTTCAAATTTTGATCCCCATAGTGGTCCATCAGTCAGCTTGTACAAATAAAGAATGTGGGATATGTCACTATACAAAGCAAACACAGAGCTAAGATAGGGAACCATTGATATCTTACATGAGCAAAGGAGTTGTTACTCTCTTTCTCGGACACAGCAGCCTTGTACATAGCCATTCTTTCTTTCAAGGACAGAGTCTCTTGGAAATCCAGCGGTGTACCATCAGCCCTGGGAGTGCTCTCTTTAGGTAGTCCTCTTACAAGTTTGCCAAAACCCACTGGAAGTACAAACAGACACCATTATTTTCTAGGAAGGAAACAGGTACCATTTTTCCAATCTTGAAAGAAAAGAGTAGTAGAAAGGAACAGCATTATCAGCCTTTTAGCAGCTGTATCTTATTTTCAGTTTAGAATTTCTTGAGTACAGAAAAATTTAATTCAATTAAGTTTTTAAAAGTTGGTGAAATCCCTTGGGGAAATAACAAAAAGTTTTTTTTTAAAAAAACATACAATTTTAACAGCAAGCATAGTATGTTTTCCTTGATAGTTACATTTGCATTATTTTATACTGTAAAAAGTAATTGTAAGTACTACAATTAACCAATTACAATTATATATATTATGTTCTAATTAGCTTTATACATTTTAGTATTCATTTGCTTAACGGAGTCCATTCTCAGTTGATTGTAGATTTCAGTTGTTTACTGATACTGCATTAGGGTATGTTTTAGTCGGTTTAGTACTACTAAAACCTTATTGAAAACTATCTAAATTACTACCTCCATTTTAACCTTATTTCAGGGTGTGAAGGTTATAGATTTATCTATAAGCATCTGCAATTCAGCCCCAGTGAATGTGGAGACAATAATTCAGAGTATTCCTGAAAGAGCAGCACTGAGTTACTAGCACTAGGAAGTTTTTTGTTGCTGCTTGCTACATTCATATGACTGTATTAGAAGAATTTCATACAGCCAGGAAAGTGCCTTAAATTTACCATAAAGATATTTTCCTTTCTTGTTTCAGACAAAGAGAAAAAAAGTATGTTGTGAGCATCTCTCTTGTCTGTGATCAGAGGCAGAAGAGGTTTCATGTAATCCCATGGGCTGGAAATTCCTCTTGTCCTGCCAAAGTTTTTCTACAGTGCATGGAAAATTGGGTTGAATGACACTGGATTTCTGTAACCAGGATACTCCCTTTTTGGGAGGGGAGGGAATTTTAAGACTTCAAGAAGATATACTTTAATAAAGCCACCAGAATCTAATGTTTTAATCCTTGTGCTGCAGATATCAGAGCATCCTGATCTTCCCTAAATCCATCTATATTTCTACTTGTCCTTGCATGGTAGGACAGAATGAATTTGTTGCAACCTGCATTGCTTTTTTTTAAACAATTGTATTTTCTGCAATTATGGAAACAGGCTGTAGCTTATCCTGGTTTCAGCCAGGATAGAGCTGGTTTTTTTCACAGAAGCTAGTGTGAGACTGTGTTTTGGATTTGGGATGAGAAACTGTTGATAACGTGCTGATGTTTTGGGCTGTTGCTGAGCAGTCAAGGACAGTCCAGCTTCTTGTGCTGGCCTGCCAGCAAGGAGGCTGCCAGCGAGCAGGCTGGGGGTGCACGGGGAGCTGGGAGGGGACACAACCGGGACAGCTGATCCAGGCTGGCCAAAGAGATATTCCCTACCATCTGACGTCATGCCCAGTACATAAACTGGAGTTGGCCGGGGGGCAGAAATCGCTGCTCGGGGACGGGCTGTCGATCACCGGGTGGTGAGCAATCGCTGTATTGGGCATCACTTGTTCTTGTACATTCCTTTGTTGGTATTATCATTGTAGTTTCCTTCTTTCTTTCTGTCCTATTAAACCGTGTTTATCTCAACCCATGAGGTTTTTTTTTTCCTAATTCTCTCCCCCGCCCCACTGTGGGAGGGGGAGTGACTGAGCGGCTGTGTGGTGCTTAGTTGCCGGCTGGGGCTAAATCATGACAAGCTGAACCAAATTATCTCACAAACCCCCACCAAAACCTACCCTGTGTCCTCCCCTACCCCGCAGCATGATATATCTTGGAATTTCTCAAAGTTGAGGAAATTACTGGCTTAAAAAAGGAGAGAAGGGGGCAGGAAGAAACAGTGTAGATATGTCCTCCTGTTCTATGCATTTAATTCAAACCAGTAGGTACCTGAACTAAAACCTTAAAATCCATTTCCAAACAGGAAAGGAAAGTCAAAGAGGAAGCTTCAGATGTGTGCTTTGTGCTAGACATTGTCAGTTTACTTGTATTCTTGTATATTCTGGCACTGCTGACACCCTGTCTTCCTCATTCTGAGTGTGCTTTGTCACTTCGTTGCAGTACAGGACTGTTTGGGGTTTTTTTTAAATAACATATTTTTGTTTACTGTGTACAGTTCATTTATGCTTTTTTTCATCTTGCTGATGATTTGCAGACTTATTAAATTTAGCAAGTCAACTCACTTGCCATAATTTTGCTAAGAAATGAGTAACTTCTCTTTGTACGCTGTTTCATAATGTGTGTATAAAACACCAAGGACATACTAGAGTGCCCATACCTTTTCTACCACTCAAACCAACACCATTAACAGAACTGGTCTTCTCTTTAGAGAAGAATCACATTTCTTCTTATCCAAGTTGGTTCACTTTTGATTGTTGTATTGCTTTACCAAGGCAGTGGTTGAGAACACAAAAGATACACGTAAGAAAATTCCTCATTTTCTTTCAAACTACACACTCTTTCTCTTTAACATTGTGAAATGCAGCCAACAAGAGAGACTTTCCAAAAAGCTATCTGTTCATCTGGCACAGAACAGAGTGCCAGGGAAAGGATATCCCACCAAACAGGGAAGAATTCCAAGGCACATCCGGCCTTTCTGCCTGTTCACTGTAAAGTGTTTAGCTGGCATAGGCATTCAAGGTCCAGGTATAGCAAACAGATATAACAAGCAACTCTAATCTTCAGTAAAAATCAGACATCAGTGCAAACCTGCATGGAAGAGTGGTCTCAGTGTAAACACACTGAATTTCTTAGTATTTTTGATGGACCCTGCTCATAACTAACATGAGGCTAATTTTTTTTTTTGTTACGCTTTCCCATGCAGTATATTTGCATATTACATCTAATCATGATAGACAAAAGAATTGCTACAGTTCAAGAAAGAATAATAGCAGCAGTAAGAATCAGTGAAAGTCAGCTGGAAGGAAAAGAAAAAAAGGTTTTCAGAGAAAGTAGAAATCGGGAGAGAGAAAATTGCTGTTCTTCAAGAAGTCTGTACATTAATCCAAATCTAACCAAAACAATGGAAAGGTTGAAAGTATGCTTCAGCGACACAGAAGGATAGTCCACCAGAGCCAAACAGTGTCAGTTCCTTTTTTAAGGCAGATTGAATTATGTAACAGACTACTACCAGCATGATATTTGTAAGACGTTGCTTTAATTATCAAGAATGTTTAGTTGTTTAAAAACTTTCTGGGTATTGCTCTGATTCAACAAGGGATTCTTGGAGTCTACCTAATCATAAGCATGTGAATACTTTCATTAAGTGCAATGGGAATACTCATGTGCTTAAAGTTAGACATGTGATTAAATTCCTTGCTGATTTGGGGCCAGTGAATTTAATGGAATGTTTAAAAACACATTTTAATAGATACATATTATTATCCACCTGGGAGTGAAGGTAATAGAAACTGTTCTCTTGTTAGCTTTAAAACAGGAAATGTGCTGTCTTTAGAAGCTAGTTGTTTTATAACATGATGTGAAACTCTTTGTGGTGGTATGAGAGATTATATGATCTAAGCTTTTGCTCATTCATTTTGCTCATTTTTCTCTAAGCTTTTGCTCATTCAAGAGAACTTGAAGGTGTAATATCTTCTGATTCTTTCTGGGATAAACATGGGCTTGTGATGAAATAGAAGAGTCTATGTTTATGAAGGTGAGGTATGCCAACAAAAAGCTGTTTGTCATATGGGACTTATACAATAGTATCTATTTCAGAGAATATCATTCTTGTATTAATGGTAAGTTACATCAATTCTATAAAGTAAATGGAGCTTAACAAATCTTCCGCGCATAATAGGACGGGAGAATTCTGGCTTTCTGCCATTTTTTCCAAGGATACGACTGTATTAGCTATCCCTTATGGGCTTTTCCCGCTTTTCACGGTAGGCTGAACAGCAGTACGAGCACTGCCTTCATTGTTTTTCAGTGGAGACAATAGAAGATGTTGGCACTCAGTCACAGAGCTTGCTGTAAATGTTGCTTGATACCTCTTCTAGGAAAATAAGATTTTGGCATAATTGAAACATTTAGCAAAAAGTTCCATAGCACTTCGGTGGTTTGAGGGTATTGCTCTTGCTGAAAAATTGAAGTGAGTTGACGTATATCGTCATTGGTTATAGAAAACTCAAAATGCATAGTGATGGGAGAAATAACGTATGGATCAGCATTATCTTATATTTTTCAGAACCTGAATATTTATTCAAGTGCAGAGTTGCAGATTTCAGTGCCTAGCTTCAGCTATTAGAAGTTTAAGAGTTTTCACCAGTGCTTTCAAACACTCAAATGAGTCTATAGGGAATTTACTTCTCCTAAGAGTGTCTGAATGCAAAATGGAGTATTATGGCTCTCTCAGGAGCATAGAAAAACATTATCCCCTATGGGACTGTCACATTTTTAGAAAAAGCTTCATTTGTAGGAGGCATGAATTGTTGACTGTGCACTTTTATGTAGTTCGTATTCTTTGTTATTCCTGGTGGACCAAAAAATGCTTCTGAAACATACTGTGCCCAATTTAGACTTAGGGGCAAAGCGGTTATGGAATGGAGGATTCCATTCTCTTGTTAGAGAGGAAAAAGAAAGACTTTGAAGTGGGAGAGTCTAAAAGGAGAAGGAAAAAAAAAGGTCCTTACAACCATATTATAAAAAAGACAACTGAAAAACTTCAGAAGATGTAGAGAAGACCCACAAAAAATACTCCCACATGGAGAACTGCAGCTGTATCTAGTTGATGGAAGAGAAGGTTATAGAGTGATACGGCCATAATGTATAATCATCCTTCCAAGAAGAAATGAGTAGGTGTTAGAAATATTTTTAATTTGGCAGGAAAAAAGATAACCAAAGGCTGAAAGTTAAACCTGATAAAAGATTAGGTATTTAGTTTGAAGAAGCAGCATAATAAACCTAGCAGCATTAGCTAGAAAAGGTTTTACACACAAAAATTTCTTTCTCCCTTTGATCTGCTAGAGTCTGGGATTGCAGGCTAAACATTTTCTGATCAAAAGAAGAGTGGAGTCAGTAACTGGTTGATAGTATGTGGATGGCTTATTAATTTTATTGGTAGAGTGGACAAGTTTTTTTATGCTATTTATTTGGGTAATCTGTTGTTTTACGTAAAGTCAAGTCCTAAACACTCAGAATTCAATAAGTGATTTTCTGTCAGAAAATTCTATCATCCATGTTCTTCCTCTGTTAAAACATACCAAAACACAGATACATATACTCTTTGATACCATCAAGCAGTGGTCTCCAAAGTGGTATGTGTGCACCCCAGGGGCTGTGCAAAACAGTCCATTGAGGTGCAGGAAGAAAATACTTTTTGTAAATAAAGACATTTTAAAGGAAAATTATTAAAAAAAAAAATTCATCCATCATCCTTCTTCAATATCTATTTGTGTGTATGTTGTCTAACATATGTAATGTGTTAGTAGAATAGTACCTGTATACAATTTGTAGATAAATACATATACAAGCATGCTCAAAAATGTTTTATTAATAGGGGTGCACCATGAAAAAGGTTTGGAGACTACTGCCTTAGAGTAAAGCGAGACATCAAATCAACGTGGTAATCCTAACCTTCAGAGCGATTGCTGTGGCCATTTTCTGATGACATCTTTTCAAATATTGCTCTCCCTCTTTTCACACTAGACTCCTTCAGAGAAATGACAGAATGGCTGCCAGGCTGACTCTTCGATGTTGATGAAAGTGATCTTCTCTCACTTTCTGTTTCCTGTTAGAAGACATCAAGAGGATGTGTGTTAAAAGCTATTGGTAGGAAACAGATGTGTGTTTTGGGGGGAGAAGAATTTATGAAGAGGCAGCAGATTAGAAGGGGATGCTGTTTTGGGGGAGATGATCTCCAGAATGCCATGGTCTAAATTTCTGTAGCACTGCAGGTTGCGGATTCATGTGTGCTGCCCAGTTTACAGTTGAACAGACAATGATGCTTGGCAGTTTTCTTTTGCCATTTCTTGCATGTGGTTTCTTCCACAAGAGAAGAGTGATGGTAAGGATCACAACAAAAAATACCAGTTTCTCATTTGAACACTATTTGTACATAGAAAAGTTGATGGAGGAAATTGGGTTAATTTAATTTACTGATATGTAAGAGTATGTAAAAACAAGGAATGATGGTTTGGAGACCAGATGTACATAGGCATTTGTATTTCAGAAATTTGATTTTCAATTCTGCTGTGACCTATCGACTGAATTTAGCTTATCACAATAGTGGGTCAATGTTCCATACAGATAGTTTACACAATATCATTAGTATCTCATCATCACACTGTGGCCTCAGCCCTTTGAGGCAAAATGAGTAAATTATTGCTAAGCAAGACTCTAATTTAGTGTTGAAGCTGGTGTTCTGGGGTGCTTCTCCATCCTTCCATGCAATACACTACTCGGCATGGGGTTGGACACAATGGCTGTAAAATCTCAACTACAGCTCTTAATAATATTAAGTAAATAACTGAAACAACCAGAGTAGCAAAAATATGCTTTTTTTGCAAGGGAATAACGTGAAAGGTCCATTGTGTGTCCACTTCTGCTGTCCCTGTAAAAGAGGTGGCGATATCCAAAAAGAGGTTGGGTAGGTGGTTGGTCTGGTGACTGCATAAATCTCCCCAGCAAGGTTTTGCAGAACTTACTTGCTAGAGCCCTTAATTGCTTAAATGGCATATGTTTTCAAAATGTACTGCCTTCATTAGACTACTTCCTTTTTATTGTTTTCAGACAGCTTTATTACTGTGTAACAGTTTAATGCTACCTTTATATATGATCTCACTGAAGTAACTGCTTTTAGATTTAGATATTATGGATGGTGTGTAAGAAGCAGCAAAATTTGACTCCTGAATTGATTATCCTAGATTGGAGAGTATTTTTCTGTAACTATTTAAAAAAAGAAAAAGAAAAAAAGAAAATATTTTTAATGCAATGCAACTTAATGAATCCTCAAATAGAACTCTTACAAATAAATTAATATAAAATAAATTGTAAAAGCCATTTTCACAGTAACATATAATCAATTACACACTCACCTTGAATTTTACGAAACAGTGAAAAAGCATTGGAAGTATACTTTTAAAATGAGTGCATCATTAGCAATCAAGGACAATTGTGCTTCACCCATCTTTAATAAATTAATGCTTTTCTCATACCTGCTGATAGCTTTTATCTTAAATACATGTTGTACTTAATTTCTTGACCTGTAGTCATTCTTTGCAAGAATATTCCTTCCAGTAGGTGTACAACAGGTTATGACTTGTGGAAACTCGTAATTTTATAACCATCTGTCTACTTCTGTGAGTTATGGCAGCTTTTGCTTGAGATTAGCTGAAAGATTTTTGCATGATGTTTCAGCATTGAAACAAATGACTGATTAGACCATAGAGGCCAAAGATGTTTTATTACCATGAGTATTGTAAATCCCCTTTTTCAGAAAAAATGTCTATGGTATCACTGTATCATGAGTTATCTTGTCGCGTCAGTCCCTCCCAACTGTCACCCCTGCTCCAAAAGAGTACTGCTGCTACTGCTTACATGGAATTGAACTTGAAAGGTGATCTTGAATACAGTGGATAATTTTAGCAGATAGGTCAGGAGGTACAATCAACACACTGGGAAACCTAAACATAGCTAGATTTAAAGGTGGTATAGGGGATCTTAACCAGTACTGTGGGGTTTGTTGCCTTTTATTTAGCAGGTTTACAGGAGATAATTGGTTTAAAACTAAGTTGGATTTTCTTGAATTGCTTTTGCAGCTAGCAGCTTATTTTCCTTAGCTATTATGGCAAGTATTTTTGGAGGGTAGTAGGAAGAGAAAGATTTCTGGAGTGAAGAAAGTAGCTGTCTTTCTGCTCCATGACACTTCCTTATACCCTTCCTCACTAGGGTATCGGATACTTTCAGGTTGTACATCCCATACAGAAATGACACGGTGGCACAGTGCCAGTAAGATAAGCTCTGTGACCAGGCTGGGTTACAATGCAGGCATGACAGTGCAGCAGCACAGGTAGGACAGAGAGCTTGGCCAGGACGTGGGTATGCTGAGAGGAATGAGATACTTACGAGCCAAGGGTATCGGAAAACAGCAGGTGGCTGAAATGAATAGGATGTTTTGTGTGGGACGGGCTGTGACTTCAAACTGCTATTCATTTTGTACCCTTTTTTAGAGTTGGTTATCAGTTACAATTACACCCCAGTATTAATTATGATATTTTGGTTTAAAACAGCTGAAGAGCTGACCATTATGTGTGAAATCTGGTACAGGAAATCTGTGATGCAGAAATGGCTATGCTGAGGAGAAATGAAGGATGTGGGAGGGAGAGGAGAAATGAAAAAATGCAGCTGTGCATGTTGCTCGATCAGCCTGAACATGCCTGTCTCCTAATTCTCCAGTTCTGCAACCAGCCAGTGCCTGGCATAAATGAGAACAGCCTCAGGATCATATTGCCACGGCTTTATGTGTGCTTTTAGTAGTCAACACCAGAGAATCACTTTAATGATGTTCTAACTTCTGCAATATTAGAACAAAGTAAAAAACTCAAAATGTACTGTGTTTTCAACTACTGTTGGCATCTTTGAGAACAAAATCATCATTTTTTTTTTTATTCCTACTACATTTTTCTGTAGTTGCTCTTACTCCTAACATGATAACCAGTAACAGCTAAAAAACTTCAGAATTTACTGTTTCTATAAGAAATTCTTGCAAGCTAGGGACCAATATAAATTTGATTTGCATTTTTATTAACTCTATTAATTTTATTAACTTGTAGCATATTTCTGTAATGTTTTTTCAAATTTTAATGTCTGTAGTAGCTATTCCATTACCTACAAACTTTATGTAAGTTAGTATTTTGGACATTTATTTTAATAGGATTAAAAAAATTAGTGTACATTTTTTGACAATTTTTAATATCAATTACAGGAATATTGGCCATACTTAGGAGATTTTAATGTAAATTCTTTTGTGGAGAGATTTCTGAGATGTTGGCCATTACGGCAGAAGGTATTTTCATTCAGTTTATTTTCTTGTGTTCAGAAAAGTATATGTGTCAGATAAAACTGGAAATCTGGGATAATACTTACAAATTGCTTAGACATAAAATATTACTGTTTGTCTTAGTGTTTGATTTTTCTACCTGCAAACTTGTCTAACACTCAGGTTTTGTTTTGTACTAAGCATTATTCCCATTTTTCAAGACTGCAGTGGGTTTTTTATTCGATATTTTTGTAATTTGAAGATTTCAGTAAACAGTGTCAATTACCAATTCTAGGAATACTCTTTTCAGTTTTATGCCATGGTATTAATTTGTCATCCTAGTCCCGTGAAGCATTTTGTTATAGGCAACTGAATACAATTTACTGTAGCTTCATATTAAGTAGTTTGAGACTGGTGTTTATTGTTCCAAATCTCTTTGTTAATTTGTCTTTTGATTTCCATGTACTGCTGCCTGTAATAATGTACCCAAAAAAGTATAACTATATTTTCCTCTATAATTACTTTATATATACTTTATTAACTCTATAATTACAGGGATTAATTATATATATACTTTATTAACTCTACAATTACAGGGATTATTATATAATCCCTGTACTCGGCACTGGTGAGGCCCCATCTCAAATACTGTGTTCAGTTTTGGGCCCCTCACTACAAGAAGGACATTGAGGTGCTGGATCGTGTCCAGAGAAGGGCAATGAAGCTGGTGAGGGGGCTGGAGCACAAGTCTTATGAGGAGCGGCTGAGGGAACTGGGGTTGTTCAGTCTGGAGAAGAGGAGGCTGAGGGGAGACCTTATCACTCTTTACAACTACCTGAAAGGGGGTTGTGGTGAGGTGGGTGTTGGCCTCTTCTCCCAAGTAACTACTGATAGGATGAGAGGAAATGGCCTGAAGTTGCACTAGGGGAGGTTTAGATTGGATATTAGGAAAAATGTCTTTACTGAAAGAGTGGTCAAGCATTGGCACAGGCTGCCCAGGGAGGTGGTGGAGTCACCATCTCTGGAAGTGTTCAAAAAACGTGTGGATGGGGCGCTTCAGGACATGGTTTAGGGGACACGGTGGCGCTGGATTAATGGTTGGACTTGATGATCTTGAAGGTCCTTTCCAACCTTAGTGATTCTGTGATTACACAGACATTTTGGGGGACTGCTAATATATTTGTCCACAAAATATACTTACACTGTAGTGGATCTATAATTTTAAATACATTAATTCTCTTTTAGTTGTTTCTAGTTAAGTTCTCTTTATTTTCATAGCTAGTTTTAGCTTTTACCACAATGTTCCACAGTTATCCATATTCTTTAAGTCCCTCATATAGTGAGTCCCTATGTAGGTGAATGGTCCATTTAATGGTCTCTGTGAGGGTGGTGCTGTTCTGATATACGGTGATGATGGTCTGGGGCAGAGGAATTGCATGCTTAGCACTGTGCAGAATTTTTTGTCCTAAACAAACCAATTCTATGACCGCGTGCATTCTCTCCTTGTTCCATCCCTTTCTCTATCACATGACAGTCTCCAGATGCCCTAGCCCCGTTCTGCAAACAGCATCCCTGCCTTAGCGGGGCTTCTGAAGGATGATTTTCTTGCACTATTGCTCTAGCTGGCATGCTAGAGCTCAGGTTTATTCTCAGAAAATGATATTTCCTACTGTGAAAAAATTATTAGAAGGTGTTATGATTACCATAAACTCCTTTTAATTGAGATAAATTTAATTTGCTTACTGTTTTAT